GTCAAATAAATAAATAAAATCTTTAAAAAAAATCATCACTCTGTCTGTTGTCCTCTGTTTCTTTCCTGCATCTTCAGTTTACCTCTGTACCGGATCATACCCATCCATATGCAAAATGCTGTAATATTTCCCATCTAAAACTGCCAAAGCTTCATTTGACTCCACATTACCTCCCAAGATTGCCGCGTTTCTCTGCTCTCTTTTACAGCAAAGCTCAAAAGGATTGTTTTAATCACTAGCACTAATTTCTTTTCTTTATTCTCTCTTTCCATCCTGATCACATCTTTGAACCTGCTACACCTCCTTATCAAAGTCATCCATGACCTCTTGGTTGCTCTATGGTTAATTCTTGTTTCTCATCCTAATTAACCTCCAAGGAACGCTTTCTCCTTCTTGAAATACTTCCTCACTTGGGTTCTAGAACACCATTCCTACCTCACTAGCTGCTCACCTTCTCAGGCTTCTTATCAGGTTCCACCCTGTGTACCAATTTCTAAGCTTCAGAGTGTGCCCCAATTCAAGCTGGACTTTCTTCTCAGTCTACACTCACTCTCTTGGTGAACCATCCAGTCTCATGTTCCCTAATTTATACCTCTGGCCCTGGACTCTGCACTTGCACATCTAACACTTGAATAAGCTTCTCAAAATGTACCTGTTCAAAACTCGAACGCATGATTCTTCCCCCTCCAAACCTGCTCTTTCTTTGGTCGCCCCATCTCCGGAAGCGGCACCTCCATCCTTTCAGTAGCTCACGACAAGAGTTTTAGGGTTGTCCTTGATCCATCTGTTCTCTTGTACTCCGTGTCAAGTCCGTCAACAAATCCTGTCCTTCTGTCTTTAAAATATTTGCAGACTCCGACCCATTCTTACCCCACCGCTGCTACATCATTGGTCAGAGCCACCACCTCCTCTCTCTTGGATTACTGCACTAGCCTCCTGGTAGCTCTCCCCACTCCTGCCTTTGGCCCCCACAGTCTCTTCTCCACCCAGCAGCCAGAGCCATGCTTTCTAAAACCGAAGGCAGATCATTTCATTCCTCTGCTCAGAATTTTCCAAGGATTCCCCATCTCACTCAAGGAAAAAGGTGAAATCTTTACAGTGGCCTACATGGCCCTATATGATCTGACCCTGCTCCTTCCTCGTCCTCGTCCTCTAACTTCACTGTCTACCACCCTCTCCCCTGTGGGTTCCTCCCTTTGGTCACACTGGCCTACTTGCTGATTCCCTGAACATACCAAGCAAATTCTTGTCTCGGGATCCTTGCACCTGCTTTTCTGTGTTCTGGAATGTCCTTCCTCAGATATCTCCATGGGCTTGTTCCCTCACTTTCTTTTTCATCCCCCTATATAAAATGGAATCCTGCTACCTATCTCCTTTACCTTGCTATATTTTTCTATCACCTTTGACCACGGATAACTTTAAAGGCTTGAAGTAGAAAATCAGTAGCAAACCACCTCTCTGGAACAGGAACAGGAGAGAGATGGCAGAGGGGAAAGGGGCCTTCTCTTGTTGTTGGGGTGTGGGGAGGAGGCAGGGGACCAGGGCTGAGAGTTTGTGGGCAGAGGAGCCTACCTTCCTTTGAAGCACCAGCAGGCGGCACTGCCTCCTCGTGCTGGGAAGCCATCAGCCTCTGGTAGAGAAGGGGGCAAAATTGTCTATGGTAATCCCACAGATTTGTTGGGGCTAACTGCTCAAGTGTTGGGGGTTTCCCCAGGAGTCCAATGCAGCTGGGCTGCAGACCCTTTGGTGCCTCCGGGTGGTGGCCTACGGTGCTGCAGAAGAAGGCGTGAGAGGCGGAGGGTGGGCAGCACAGCTGAGCTCACCGCCGAGGGCGCATCCATCCCTCCTGGGCCTATAATTTGGGTTCCCCGAGCTTGGCCGCCCCTATCAGCGGCTCAGCAATAGATGAGTCACCCGGGACCCTGGGCCAAGGCAAACATGAGGGGAGGAGGAGGAGGAGGTTCCCGAGGCTTTGCTCTGCTTTAGCCACCGCCTCAGTTGCTTGATCCCCCAATCTCCCGGGGGGAGGGCCCCCACTCTTTTCTTTGACCCCCGCCCTCCAGGGCCCCAGTGATCTTCCCAGATTGTTCTTGCTACACCCTCCATCCCCATGATGGGAAGGCAGCCCTCCAGTCTTCTCATCGAGGGGAAGGGGGACCAGCTTGCTCCGACTCTCTCCCCAAAGTAATGACAGCCCCTCACTTTCCCCCTCCTGTCATGGCCCCAACCCCTGTCAAGGTCTCTCTGGTTCCCGCCCCTCCCCTTTCCTGGAGCTGGCCGCGTGCTTGGGGTATTAGGCAATGGGTGTGTACCCACAGCCCTCTCCAGACCCCGCCTGCTCCACCACCCTCCAGCCGCCTGCGGGTCAGTGCTCAGGCCAGCCGGTCGTGCCAAGGGCACTGGGGGCCAGTTCAGGCCACCCAGTCTGCCTGCCTGTGGCCTCCTGTCCCAGAGCTGGGCTTCTGCATGGAGAGGGAACAGGAGTGTGGGTCCTTGGATTTGGGATAGACCAGCGTGGGGAGCCTTGGAGTCACTGAGTAGTTGGAGTCTATGGTAATAGTTCTGACCTTGGCCCTTCCTTGGCACCTGACTGTTCTACAGCCTGACAAGGGTAGAATCAGAAGTAACGATCGGAAACCTGAGGGAGGTCCAGAGACCCATGGAGAAATACAAATGCCCACGGGGGAAGAGAGGCATAGGAAACCTCATCCCCTTCCTCCAGGGACCTGGGTGGAATCCCAGGCTGACATGCAGGAAGGACAAGAATGCTGGCCAGGGTCACTGAATCCAGGTGAAAGGATGAAAGCTACTGAGATATGGCTTACAGATTCCAGTGGCCTCAAAAGCCACACATGGTTTGGGTCTTGGTGTCTAAACAGGAAGGAGAGGCAGGAGTTCTAGGGCTATTTCTCTTCCTCTCCTGCCCCCAGAGGTGAGAAAGCAAAGAAAAGCAACCCTCTCTGGTCAGAGCTGTCCAGTGTCAGGAACCATGACACTTTTACCTCCCCAGCCTGCTCCAGACCTGGCACATAAAGGTGGTTAGTAAATAATATGCCAGCCGATGAAAAGTCACTGATCTCTCTCAGACTGCTCTGCCCCCCAGACAGCAGTGCCCCCTGCAGCACAGGGCAGGCCCTGCAGCAGCACAGACTGGAGGCTGACTGCCCAGAAGAGCTGCAGGGCCACCACCAAGGAAGAGATGACTGTGGCTGTGGGTTTCGGGCCCCGTGGCTCTGCTTCCCCAGGGGGCCTGTCTCTGAGTCAACGTGCCAGCCTCGGGCGCGCGGGGCCAGTCGTGCCTTGGGCTGCGGTCTGGCAGGGGCGGGGGGGGGGGCGGCTGGGAAGCCTGGGGCCCCTCTCTGGCAAAAATAGCCCGCAGTGGTTAGAGCTGGGAGGGTGAGTCAGGCAGGAGCGCAGTGGCGCCTAACCCCTTCACTGCCACTGGAGCTCCGTAAGGTGGTTTGCTCTGGTCTGTGCACCCCAAGATTCAGGCTCTTTCCCTGGCTAGCTAGGTCTGAAAGCCTGGAGCAAGAATATGGGCCACTCGAAGTGCAGACCCGGGATCCCGGGATGGGCAGGAGAACTCTGTGGCCAAGGATGCCTATAAGCCAAGGGAAGCATAGGAGAAGGCTGGAGATCTTTGGGGCTACCCGAGCCTCTGCTAGGACCAAGCTCTGAGGCCAAGTCTGACCCCTCCCAAGGGGCAGGCGCAGAGCTCAGAGGTGGGTGGAAGCCAAGCTACCCAGAAGGGAGCTTTTCCTCCTGGCTCTGAGTGCCCTGCGGCGCGCTCTCGCTGAGGGCTCTACACAACATTGTCCAGGGAGAGAAGTTGAATCTCAGCTCTGTGTTCATCTTGTCAAAGGCACTCTCCAGCCACCCAGCTCTCGGTGGGGAAACTGAGGCAAAGAGCAATGACCACGTGGGACCAGGGTCCTGTCTCCCTAGTCTGGGTCACGGCACCCTCCTTGCAGACTTGGCTACCCAGAGCAGGTGAGGGGCACTCTGGTCACCACCCCCTTCAGTGGGGCCAAGCGTGAACCCAGGCGTCGGGGGAGAGGGTGTGTGTGTAGGCTGGGAGGAGGGGGAGCGCCTGCGCTCCCCGGGTCAAGGCGGGGGGTGTGAGGAGTGGGGTGGGGATGCCTGGGGCTCGGGGAGGGGCGCAGCTCTGTCAGCCGCAGCAGAGCCGCTTGTGAGCTCGGCGCGAGTAGAGTAGAGCCGGAGCCCCCAGTTCTTTGCTAGACCACTTGCTAGCTTTCTCGATCACTCCCTCCCTTCCTCCCTCCCTTCCTCCCGGCGGCTGCGGCGGCGCTGGGGAAGCAGCGAAGAGGAGTGGCCCTGCCCTGGAAGAATGCGGCTCTGCCGAGGGGGCAGAACCCGACGCAGTCTCCCCACGGTTTGAGAAGCCCGAGCCCAGGCGACCCAATCCTGCCGGTGGCGACCCCGCACCAGAGCAGCTGGAGGTAATCGGAGCCGGGAAAGCAGGGAGAGCAGGGACGCGCACACGGGGCTGAGAGAGGCACACGGGTAGTCAGACAGACAGACACGCATCCGCCCACTGGGGCACGGAGACAGAGAGAGAGCCAGGGATATTGGCAGAGATAAAGACAGCAAATAAAGGAATATTCCCAGATCAGAAGGGCAATGAATGCGAGAGCAAAGGGTTGGGGAATGAGCCTGGGACCCGAGGGGACCAGACGGGCATTGCAGATGAGGGGAACACTAGTTAGGAAAGGTGGCAGAGGAGGAAGAGGACTCAACCTGTGCCGCCGTCCTCTTCAGGCGGGAACCAGGTCCCCTCCCTGTCTGGTGCACCTGGAGCCTCCCCTCTCTCCCAACTGCGGAAAAAGTGGGTAGAGCCGGGTTGGGGGCCCATTCCTCCAGGTCTCTCACGGAGGCTGCCTGCCCTCGACAGCACCTGAAGGTGACCCTCCCCCACACCCCGCCGTCTGTAGGTGGTGCAGAACCCTCTTCCAATCCCGCCCCCTAGCCCTGAGAGCCAGGCTCTGGTGGGCGAGGGAAGCCAGTCGTGGGGACCTCAAAGAGGGGGCGGGGGGCAAGATGGTGGAGTGGTGTTTGTGAGTCAGTATGTCTGAGTTTGCACGTGAGTGTGTCTGTGTGCCAGGCATTGTGTCTGTCTGGGTCCAGCTCCAGGGGCTCTTGCATAAGCCCCTGCTGCGGTGCTCAGACTCTTCCTCCAGGGTCCAGGGACAGGGGTGATTCTTATTGTTTTGCTTGGGGAGGGATGACAAGGGTCACTGGGGTGGCACTGGTGAGTTAGGAATCCTTGGTTGCTGGGGTGGGGGCAGCCCACCCTATTCCGAAGCCCCCAAGTCTCCCTGTCCCGCAGGCCCTGATCGATCTGCCCACCGGGGCCTTAGGGCCCGGGCTTCGACATGCGGGAGGAGCCCCGGCCGCGGCCTCCGCCCTCGGGCTTCGCGGGTCTCCTGTTCCTGGCGTTGTGCAGTCGGTGAGCAGCTCCCCCCTGTCACCCAGCCCACGAGAGAAAGCCCTAGGCTGAAAGCACCGACCCAGCACGGGAGGAGTCGGAGGGGGCGCGAGGCCTGGACCACAGACCCCGCAACGCCTTCTGCGTTCCCAGGGCCCTCAGCAATGAGATTCTGGGCCTGAAGCTGCCCGGCGAGCCGCCGCTGACCGCCAACACTGTATGCTTGACGCTGTCGGGCCTGAGCAAGCGGCAGCTGGGCCTCTGCCTGCGCAGCCCCGACGTGACGGCATCCGCGCTTCAGGGCCTGCACATCGCGGTCCACGAGTGTCAGCATCAGCTGCGCGACCAGCGCTGGAACTGCTCGGCGCTCGAGGGCGGCGGCCGTCTGCCGCACCACAGCGCCATCCTCAAGCGCGGTGAGCCGGGCCGGGCGGGTCTGCGCCGCCGGGGCTGGGGCTGGGGGGCAGGCCGAGGCGAGCGGAGGCGGGAAGGGACCGGTTCGCGACTCCGGGAGGGGCCTCTCTCCGGGAATTCCCCCCCCACCCCCGGGAGCCACAGAGCTGCGCCTGGCCACCCGTCTGGGCCCCTGCGCCTCACTTCCACCTGCGTGCTGCCGGCAAAGCAGCTGAGTCTTGCTATCCTACCCTAGGGCCCCTCTTGCCTGCCTCCACCAGGCTCGATGTGGGTTGCACCTGCGAGCAAGAGATGCCCCCAGCCCTGGAAGCTTCAAACGCCCCCCCATTACCTCCCCCAATATCCTCCCCCCCCTCCCCGGACAAGCCCAGGCTGGTGTCCCCAGAGCCTCAGCGGGGGTGGGGTGACGCCCCCAACCGTTTAAGGGTTAAACCTACTCCCCTAATTGCTGGGGTTCCCAGGAGCAGAGGCTGGGAACAAAGACCCTGATGGCTTTGAAGCTGGGGAGCAGCCCCCTCCTCTGTGCTGTGGGGGCCCCAGGTGGCTCTCACCTGAGCAGGTGAGGAGCGGCTGGAGGGGCGAAGAACAGGTCACTGCTGGTCTGGTCTGGGAGGTATGGTCTGGAAGTCATCGTTGCCTCTTGCCAGGCCATGCCTGTGTTTCCTCCCTGGAGGAGTAAAGATCCATTCTGGGCTCAGCTCGAGGGGGGGGGCAGTACTTCAGGGACTACGGGGTTAATAGGCAGCTGCCATCTGCGGGGGAATTCCCAAGACGTGTGCAAACAGCTTCACCCCGAGGGTTGAGGTTGGGGGGAATTGGGAGGCTGGGCCAGAAGCCCTGCATCCTGGGGTGGGAGAGGCTTGGCCCCTAAAGAGGCACTGTCTCTCATCCTCTCAGGGCTCAAGAGAGCCCCTACCTAAAAGGAAGTGAGGGACCCCCTCCTTCTCTATAGGGCCGGGTGTAGGGAAAGGCGTTGATACCCAAATGAGAGGCATGGGAAAAGCTTGTCATCTTGAGCCTCTGTGACCCCAAAAACATAACAAAGAAGCCAACATTTTAAGAGGGCCTCAGGGAAAATCACCCCCCACCCCTCTCCCCCTCCCAGCATTTTATAGAGTAATAGCAGGTTAGGATAAACATAAGGGGCAGTCTTAAAGGGCAAATATAAAACTAGAAACTGGAAAGGGGAAGGATAGCTCCACAGCTCCAGTGCTTTGGGGGTGTTGGGGTGGTGGAGGAAGGTTGGTTAAAGGGCCCTAAAGAAAAAAAAAAAAAAGAACACAAAAGTCTCTGCTTCCACCCCACCACCCAAGCTCCCTGCTGGGCTGGGGAATTTTTAAAGCTTTCAGATGTAGAACTCAGTGATCACTTCTTCAAAGACCTCGGGGACTCCCTCTCAGTCACCTGCCAACCCCAGGGGTCTTGCCCTCCAGCTAGCTCTTTCATCTGCACCCGAAAATCCCAGACTTACAGAACAAGGATGGGCCTCAGAGATCATCTCAGTCCAGCTCCTCCCTTAATAAATGAGGAAACTGAGGCTTCGTGCTTCCGTTCCCTTCCTTCTCCGTGACTTTCTCCCAAATTACGCAGCTGGTAAATGACAGGGTCAGGATTCAGTTAGGAATTCCTGGAATTGAAGGGTGGCTGCTTATTTCCTCCCACCTCCCTACTCCAGCTGCCTGTCAACCTTATCCCCCGTCACACCCTTTTTATCCCCAGGTTTCCGTGAGAGTGCTTTTTCCTTCTCCATGCTGGCGGCAGGGGTCATGCACGCGGTCGCCACGGCCTGCAGCCTGGGCAGGCTAGTGAGCTGCAGCTGCGGCTGGAAGGGCAGCGGTGAGCAGGACCGGCTGAGGGCCAAGCTGCTGCAGCTGCAGGCTCTGTCCCGGGGCAAGAGTTTCCCCCACTCCCTGCCCAGCCCTGGCCCCGGCTCAGGCCCCAGCCCTGGCCCCCAGGACACATGGGAATGGGGTGGCTGTAACCATGACATGGACTTTGGAGAGAAGTTCTCTCGGGATTTCTTGGATTCCAGGGAAGCTCCCCGGGACATCCAGGCGAGAATGCGAATCCACAACAACAGGGTGGGGCGACAGGTATGTGTGTGCAACTTGTCCCGGGTCTCCTTAGCTTTTGAGGCCTGGCTGGAGTTGGAGAGGCACAGCAGAGTAAAGAGGATGAGATGTGGTGGGGGATGGCCACTCACCATCTGGATGACCTCAAGCGAGTCACTTACCCTGCGTTTTGCATCTGTAAAAAGAATCTAACGATACCTACCTTAAGATGTCATTAAGAGTGAGCTGGCAAATAGGGCACTGGGCAGAGTGCCTAGTCCTTGGCAGGTGCTCATTACATGGTAGCTAGTATGACAGCTGCCTTCCTACAGAAGCGGTGCTCATTTTAGTGCTCACTCTGCAAAGAGCACTGGACTGCGAGTCGGGACAACTGGAGTTGAGTTCTGTTAGCAGCTAGTTATCGAAGCTGAGTCTCTCTTACCAGCTAGTGATTAAAGATGGGCAGATCACTCTGCTCTGGCCTCAGTCCTCCAACCAGAAGATGAGGGAGTTGAGCTATTAGCCAGCCCTGCAGTGCCCTTTCTCTTCTGACATTCCATGGTCATTCTTGCCTCTATGTCTCCCTCCCCATGCTCTCTGTTCCCTCCCCTCTGCTGCGCCCCTGTGCTCTGCCCCTGTGCTGCCCCCCCCACCCCATGCTCTAGGTGGTAACTGAAAACCTGAAGCGGAAATGCAAGTGCCACGGCACATCGGGTAGCTGCCAGTTCAAGACGTGCTGGAGGGCGGCCCCAGACTTCCGGGCAGTGGGGGCAGCGTTGAGGGAGCGGCTGGGCCGGGCCATCTTCATCGACACCCACAACCGGAACTCTGGAGCCTTCCAACCCCGCCTGCGTCCCCGCCGCCTCTCGGGAGAGCTGGTTTACTTTGAGAAGTCCCCCGACTTCTGTGAGCGAGACCCTGCGGTGGGCTCCCCCGGCACCCGGGGCCGGGCCTGCAACAAGACCAGCCGTCTGCTGGACGGCTGCGGTAGCTTGTGCTGCGGCCGTGGGCACAACGTGCTCCGGCAGACGCGAGTGGAGCGCTGTCACTGCCGCTTCCACTGGTGCTGCTACGTGCTTTGTGACGAGTGTAAGGTCACCGAGTGGGTCAACGTGTGTAAGTGAGGGGCGGCTTCACCTGGCCCGCGGGGCCGGCGGGGCCGGTGGGGGGCGGGCGCGCCTCCTCGGCCCTTTGCTCTCATTTCTGTCCAGTGGCGATCTTGGCTCCTGGCAGCGGCTTTGGGGGCGTGGGGGGTCAGGCTGAGTCCGCGATGTGCAGCCTTTTCCCCCGCCGTAGGGGGGCCTGGGAGGGAAAGCTGTCACCCCCTCTTCTGCTCTTGAAACACCTGAAATGAACGAAGGTGACATGCATGGTATTGCCTCCCTGTCCCCGGCCCTGGGGTCCCTTTAGCTCTGGTTCCTACACCTTCTGGCTGGGGTGTCCCTGTAGTTTGACTACTCCTCTCCTTTGAGGGAGAGCCCCAGGCATTGTGTGGAGCCATAAGATCTGTATCCAGGGAGACCACTCGTTCTTATCTGCTGTTCCCTAACTCCTCTACAGCAGCCTGGGCTCCTTCTTGTGGGGGACTAGGAGACAGTGGTAGAGAGGTTTTTCTTGGGGAAAGGAAGGGGGCTCTCCCTAGAGTCTTCAGAGAGTTGTTTGTCTAGGCCCTTAGGGAAACTGTCCCCCCCCATTCAGATGTTAAAGGAAACCCTCCAAAGGAAGAGTTTTACCTAAGACTCTCTGAGCCTCTTGTTTGTTGTTAGCAGGAGGGATGGGAATGAATAATTTATTGTACTGAGACTTGTTCTTGGTTTCTGTTTGTAACTAAAATAAATTAAACTACTGGACCAGTGGATGCAGGTGGTTATATTTCTGCCCACACTTGGGATCCCAGTCCATCGCTTCTTTCCCAGGTAAATTCTACCCTCATACACCCAATGACTTTATTTATGTGTATCCTGCCTGATCCCACAAAGGATTTGAAATGGTCCTCACTGATTTAGTTGGCAACTTTCAATGTGAAAAACCAGGGGGTACTTCTACGTAGAGGGGGGCTAGATATCCAAACATAGGCCCAATTTACTTTTTTTTTTCTTAAGATTTTATTTATTTGACAGAGACACAGCGAGAGAGGGAACACAAGCAGGGGGAGTGGGAGAGGGAGAAGCAGGCTTTCCGCTGAGCAGAGCCCGATGTGGGGCTTGATCCCAGGGTCCTGGGATCATGACCTGAGCTGAAGGCAGACACTTAACGACTGAGCCACCCAGGAACCCCTACCATAAAAATTTACTTTTTATGTGCTTCAACTCCAGACTTCACCTTGATCCTTGTCCTAGAACAAGGGTTGGCATTTTTTCCCCCCACAGAGGGCTTGATAGCAAGTATACAGTTGACCCTTGAACAACATCAGGGGTTTGGGGGCGCCCCCTTCCCACACAGTCAAACATCTGTGCATAACTTTTGATTCCCCCAAAACTTAATTACTTATAACCTACTGTTGACTGGAAGCCTTACCGATAATAGAAACAGTCGATTAACAGATTAACACATACTTTGTATGCTACGTGTTTTATATACTGTGTTCTTGCAATAAAATAGAGAAAAGAAAATGTTATTAAGAAAATCATAAGGAAGGGGCACCTGGGTGGCTCAGTCGTTGGGCGTCTGCCTTCGGCTCAGGTCATGATCCCAGGGTCCTGGGATCGAGGCC